CTGGAAGGGAACGTTCGTAGGAGAACGTTCTCGACAGTGACTCACGAAACTCGATTAACTTTTCGATCAGTATGGCTCCACGCTTTGCTCAACGTCCTTCATCGTCACGATGCTATTGCTGGAGTTGATACGTACATATGTGTAGCATATCGACCCCGCGGAAAATCGATAAATGGCCCGAACCGATTCCAATCGACGATCTGCACGAAAAGTCATATCGAATCAATATACGATTTGATTGTATTGGGTCCACCCCTACTGTCAAGAGATGATGAATCACGAGATTGCTACAGAATTCTTATTTTATATCGGTTTCAACTTTAACGATCCTATGGCCGGGTCACCGGCGACCCGACGATGAACAGAACCGTTTCATTCAGGACATAGAGAAGAAGTGAGAATCTATCGAAGAGATCCTGTCGGGGGTCAAAAATGACCCTACTTTGAATTGAAAATTGTGAATTAAAAATTGGTATAATAGAAAATCTTGAACTGAAAATTGATATAGTAGAAAATTTGGAACTTAAAATTGATATGGAAAAAAAAACTTTAAATTGAACATTGACATTGTTTAAAAATTGATCTTGTTTAAATTTAGAGAAACGAAACTTCTATTTGTAATATTTTCTCACGAATCACAATTGACCCACCCATCGGCTCTGCTGGTTCCATATACACAATAACTCAACGTCTACCTGTGAGACCTTGTGAAGGGTCACAATTGACCCAGCCGCCAGCCTTGAAGCACACATAAACCCGAGCCAACAATTGTGTTTTAGTTGTGATAAAACGGATTTAGTGAAACCGCTAACGAGCAACGGATTGTATCTGGATTCCGTCAGAGTACACACACACGACCATCGAATACAAAGTAACGTATTCCTTTGGAATGGCGAGCGAGAGGCGTGTACATTTTTTTTTCCTGTTCGAGGACATTTTTTTTCACGACGACACGTCCGGTAACTTGCGACCAAAAAAGCCGTTGTGTCCCTGGCGGATAAAGGATTCGTCAGCCCCTCGGAGTCTACGCTAATGGAAGTCGAAACAACTGAATTTGTTGAAACACTGATGGTAAATATTTGAACTAACAGCTTGTTTTTTAAGACACTTCCGCTGTGACAACGATAAAAGCAGGAAGGGATGAAATTCGTGGATGTAGGACTGTCTGACTTGTGGTTGACATGGATCACTTAAATTCGAGGTCTCCTGGAGCTTAATTAACAATATTCAATATTTAACACTTTGACTGCCACGTCACCCAAATATGAGTAACACGTACATTGCAAATGGGTTGGATTATTTAAATAAGAATATATAGAACTACATATTTTCAATGAAATATGACTTAAAGAATGAAGTAACGCGTGTCTGATCATGCACGAACTTTTCCACTGTGGCAGTTAAAGTGTTAATAAATATCACGATCATGAAAATGAAATTTTCGGTGGAATTCTATTGCCGAAATTGTCGCGAAAATTAAAAAATGAATTAAATTTATATTGGCTAGGTTGAATACAATTTTTTGAGAACCATGGTTGTTAGTTTAAATAATAATGAAAACTGAACAAGGATGGATTTTCGTGTTTCTTCTCACAAGTGAAATATTCCGTGGAAAATAGTCCACCAGAGATTTCAATACAGCGGAATAATTTTATTCACCCCATTGCGAGAAAGTATTCTCGATAAATAAATATTCAAGAGGATTATTCAAATAAAAATTGTCATACAGAGTGACGAAAACGAGGGGCCAGGCACGATACACCCGGAGGATCTCGCGTGAAAGACAAAATCGTGATATTCTGTGTTCGTAGCACCGGAAGATTCAATTGGCGTTTCGGGGCAACGAAAGCCTCCTCTCGCTGATCGGAAATATGTTCGGAAAAACGGCGATAAATACGCCGAATACTCGACTTATTGCGTAAAAATTCATACCCCCGATTATACTCCCTCAATAAACGTTCGAATTTTCGATGGAAAATTATTTCCGAATAATACGTGAAACATGATATGGAAATGATCCTGCAGAATGAGATAGACAGATGGTCCAATTTATATTTTCGTAAACAAGACTCTATAAATATTAAAATTATCGATAGAAAATAATTTTCTACCATGTGAATAATAATATAGAGGAACTTAATCTAGAATTATTTTCCAGAATGAGATGGACAGATAGTCAAATTTATATTTCCGTACACTAGACTCTATAAACGTTAAAATTTTCAATGGAAAATAATTTTCGACTCTACGAATGATAATACAAAGAACACAATTTGGAATTATAGTGCCCAGTGAGAAGGACAGACGGTCAGATTTTGGTCTTCGTGAGCCAGACGGATCGACTCACTGCGGTATGAATAATTAATATACAGGATGAAACCCCCTGGAGCCGGATAGGTCAAATTGTAATTCGTTTACGAAAATGGACCCTAATGTAAAGGGCTGACGTACATAATGCAACGAATAATCCCGCGGAATTCGTGAATAATTCCTATCTGGCAGGTCCCACGCCAGACTTTCTCAGTGATTAGGTTCCCTAATCTTTCTTAATATTTCATTCGACGGAAATTGTACGAATATACGCTCCTCCCAAACCGAGAAAAGAACTTTTTTTAATTAACTTTTTACAATACATGGAGGAACATTCAGAATGGTTCAAAGAATTTTTCGAAAAATTTTTGTGGCCTTGGCATAATTACTACGAGAATAATTTATTTTTATGGGAGCCAGGAAAATTAGTGAACTATATCCTTTATAATAAATTTTAAAATTATACGCATACTGAGAACAAAACTAATAAATTGATTTTCGCTAAAATTAGTCAACTAGATATTACATATTAATGAAAATTTTCTAGTTTATTGTCTAGAATCTAGAGATCTAGTTATTGCAATAATCATTATTTTTAAATCATTGACACACATTTCACAGCAATAAATTGAAAACTGGATTTTGATTATGGTACTATAATTCTTGCTCACCTGTACTAGCAACAGGGAAATAAAAGTTTCTACTGAATCAAAGGACACCTAAGGGACTAGAGCGATCCTACAGGTGGTTTGCTCAGGAATTTATCACTACAGGGATCGTCAATTATTCTTTCGCCAATTCCAAAAACCACTCTGATTACATTCAACCAAAACTACACCTACATAACCATTTAATCAACACTACAATACTTACAAACATGCAAAAGCAGATTTCTAGAAAGAAAAAAAGAAAAATATGATCCATTTCTATGAATTCTAAATGGGCCAGTTTCTGTTCAGTTCTCTAAATATTCCCAAAACCCACCTCAGATTCTATCGAACACGAATTTAAATAAACGTCATCAAAAGAAGAAATTTAGTAGCACCCATAGGACCACTGGAAACGATTAATATCAAACGTCAGAAGGGGCAATGGAACGGGCAACGCCAAATTCATCTGAGAGAGGGGCCATCTCAAAGCCCCATCAGAGGACCCTGGCGTTACACGTGTACCAAGTGTTTCCCTATTCACCGGCGACATCAGTTTAATTAAACCAGCCACCGCAATTAGTACACTCTCTCGTATCGGTATTCTACAAACTCCGTTAAACTCAATAAACCGGGTCCTTTGACTCGCCGGCTACTTTTCTCGGCCAGGGAAGGGAAACTTCGATCTGTATAGCTCCACCCCAAGCTGCACCATATAGCTTCCAGTGGGGCTAACTTGATTATCCCTAAATGGTCCCCCAAAACAAGCGGCCTATTACAGGGGAAGTGTCAGAGGGCATTAACTGGAATCACCAAAAGCCAAAGATTTAGCAACCCTTCTGCAGCCATATTCCCGATTCAGAACTGACTCTCCTGTTATCCACTTTTCCTTCGAATCCACTCCACCCTATCCCAATACTTTGATAATCCTGTGTTGTAGTTACCAGACTCCGATCCCATGATCCTTTTAGTCCCTGAGAACTGTTATGTGACAAAATTTCCTTGTATTCGCCCAGGGTATATTTACGTCGGGACTTTCGTTGACGCGACCGACCCAGATGGGGAAGTTTGTCAAGGTCTGGTGTTAACGAGACTAGTACTTAGAGTGTAGCACTGCTAGCAGTAGGGATTAACTAGATAACAGGGATTCTAATTAAAGGAGCTATTCAATATGTAATGGAACTCTGAGGGACGTTCGGCAGTTTCGAGTTTCGTCTGATTTAGTGGGTTCGCGATGGCGAAAAGAGATCGAGTTTTAGGGTGGACTTGGGAGATCTCGTGGTGGATCGAAAGACACTTGGTTCCGTAGACTCTAGAGGTACTTATTCCTTGGAATTCCGAGGCACATATTTTGTGGACTCTGAAATCACATATTTTGTGGACTCTGAAATCACATATTTTGTGGACTCTGAAATCATATATTTTGTGGACTCTGAAATCACATATTTTGTGGACTCTGAAATCACATATTTTGTGGACTCTGAAATCATATATTTTGTGGACTCTGAAATCACATATTTTGTGGACTCTGAAATCACATATTTTGTGGACTCTGAAATCACATATTTTGTGGACTCTGAAATCACATATTTTGTGGACTCTGAAATCATATATTTTGTGGACTCTGAAATCACATATTTTGTGGACTCTGAAATCACATATTTTGTGGACTCTGAAATCATATATTTTGTGGACTCTGAAATCACATATTTTGTGGACTCTGAAATCACATATTTTGTGGACTCTGAAATCACATATTTTGAGCACTCTTTCATTCATTTCTTTTGACCCCAGAATCCCCTATTTCCTTGGACCATAGAATTCCCAAGTTCCTTGGGCCCTAAAGTCCCATATTTCCTTGGACTCTGAAGTCCCCTATTCCCTAGATTGAAAATTCCCAAGTCACTCCATAGTAAAACAAATCGCTTATATCTCAAATCACCAGTGTCAAAGTGTAAATTACGTTCCACCGGACTATATAAAAGTAAATATAACATATCCAGGGACGGATGCTGTAATTTTTTCTCTATTTCTCTGTTCTAGTTACTAAGTTCCATAGTGGTGGTCGGTGGAACGAACATGGCAGGTGTTCTGACACACCACCCACGTGAGCTGGCGCAAAGGCAGGCGTTCCTGGAAACGAGACAATGCGTCGAGGCTCGTCTTACTACACAGAGGGAAAATCAGCAACAGGTAAGAGGATACGCAGAATTCCATAAATTCTTGATAGCTCGAGGAAGTAGCCGTGTTACCGTCGACGTAATAAAAGCTACCGTGATTCGCTTATGATGTTTTAACAAGACCCTCGTCGGAACAAACTTCGCGAATCTCTGTCTGTGTTCTAGAGAACGTTTTTGAGCCCAGTAATAACGCTATTTCTGAAACAAGCTGTCTCGTCACAGGAAACTGAGAAGAAGTAAATATGAAATGATTCTAGTATTTCATTTATTAAGTAAATATTTCATTCAGTATTAAGTAAATATTTCATTCAGTATTAATTAAATATTTCATTCAGTATTAAGTAAATATTTCATTCAGTATTAAGTAAATATTTCATTCAGTATTAAGTAAATATTTCATTTTTTCAATATTTTCAAATCAAACTTCACTTTTCAAATATTTTACAGAGTTTACATTGGGATTTTTAAATAAAGGATCGTTAACTGTTTAATGTTCGAACAACTGGTTGTCAAACGAGAATTTATATATGCCATAAAAAAGCAGTTTCGAGTGTGATGATTGAAGTGTTTCATATAGAGAGATGGAAATTTTTAGTTTGGTAAATCGATACACAACGTGTAATTAACTTAGTTGGAAAGTTTTGATCGTCGTTGATGAATCGACCTATCGAAATTGACGTCATTATAGTTCGCGGTGCTTTCACGTTGCCCAGCATCTGGTTAATTAATGGAGCTCTATAATTATTTATGATGTAAGCGAATACCACATGTACAAAATTCACCTTGGACAATTATGTATAACAATAAGAAAAACTTCTTGACACGATCATACACAATAATAATGATAAAATTGAATAATAAATTCTCGATAATAATATGAAAAATTACTACAATCTAATACATTTTTAAAAACAATTTATAAAATGATGCAAGAAGGTAAATACTATATTTTGATTTTGGATGTAAATTCCATTCACCATGAATAACAGTAAATAATATAACATTTCTTAATTGAAAAATGTTAACAGAAATAAAAATTTCTAAAATGAAGAAATAACCATCAACACTAAAAGTACCATGTGAGTTTCAAAAGAAAGTTAGCAAAAACCTTATTATTTCTCCTTAATCCAGCTATTTATTAACTTCTGACAAAGAAAGACACTTGTATGTTCTAAAAACAAGAAGTAAAAAGTCACACGAAGTTCGAAGATTCATAAACCGGAAACGATCGCCGCGAGAAAGAAATGAAAAAAAAAAGTCACCCCGGAGCGACATCGAAATTATTTCGTCGCAATTCTCGCGTCCGTAAAAACATCAAACAACCGTGGACGAAGAAGGAAGCGATGTTTCGCATCGAGATTCCGCAAACAGCCGCGAAAAGCTTTCATCGAAGTTAAGTAAACTGCGCTGCGCCGACAAACAGCCCGAGACGACTGCCCCTAGAGACGGCGTAAACGTAGCAGCGTTTACTTGCTCTGCAGAGAAAAAAAGTCCTTGATTGCAACAACAATTTTCCTCGAAAAATAAAAAAAAAAAACTGTAAAAAGCTAAGATTTCCTTCGACCAGTCGAGAGGCTACTGTCTCGGTTGTGTTATTTTTAGAGAGCATGGGAAATAATTGTTAGTAGCCGCCGGAAGCCAGTTAAGGATAGCGTGTTATCAGGAATCACTTATTGTACGAACGTTTCACCCGTGGCCGGGACCATTGTACGGTTTAATCGAGAATCCGTGACCAGTCGCGATAGTAATCGGCCATTGTCCAGGCCTGCTTGTTCATCAACCTCGATGCTACCCCTAACTCCACCCCATCACCCTCGACAATATCTTCCAGACGGGTTCCATGACTTCTAGATCATAAACGAACCATGTACATTGGCTACCTTCAATGTTTACATAAAATAGACTATTTTCCAATATAAGTAAGATAGAGAAAGTTCAGTTAATTATAGAATCAATTATAATTTAAAATCGAACAAAATCAATAATGCTCTGATTTTATAGTTGGGATTGTTTTAACATCCTTATATATACTTTTAAATTATTAAAGATCCCCATAAATTATAAATCATTGTGGATATCCATAGATCATTAGATACCTACAGATCATTATACATACAAGTACCTACAGATCATTGTACGTCCCCATAAGCTATTATAGATCCCCATAGATCATTATAGATCCCTATAGATCATTATAGATCCCCATAGATCATTATAGATCCCCATAGATCATTATAGATCCCTATAGATCATTATAGATCCCTATAGATCATTATAGATCCCTATAGATCATTATAGATCCCTATAGATCATTATAGATCCCTATAGATCATTATAGATCCCTATAGATCATTATAGATCCCTATAGATCATTATAGATCCCTATAGATCATTATAGATCCCTATGCATTATAGATCATTATAGGCCCCTATGATGTAACAGATAAATAAAATATGAAAAACCTCAGAATATAACCTGGAAGGAAAAAATTCTATTTCCATATATCAGAGCGAAATAGTCGAAGGAAGCTTTTACATTTGCAATTTCCGCGCATCGATACGGCGAAAATTCCCGCGACGAAACGACTCCATCCGTGGGGTCATCTGATTCGCATTGAAGTGCATCTTGGCGTGCGCTCAGCAGCCGCGTACAGACACGAGAGAGAAAGAGATGGAGATAGTACCTAATATCTCTGACGGGAACCCGCGAGTAGTAAGCTTTCGACACGTTTCTGCGGCAGAGGAGGAGGAGTTTATGGATGCACACGAGCCAAGTGATGCGTGTGCATCGCTCGGCGAAGATAAGCCGCGAAACTGCAAGCGAATGCGACGCCTGGCCGTTCACTTAACACACTACTCCCACAGAGACGATGTAATCGCGTGTGGATGCACCAGCGCGAATACACCCGCGGATCCTCACGGAACGTTATACCGTATTTCTGTCATCGTGGGCTTGATTCAGTGCAACCACTGTTTGAATTGCAACATTGATAACTATTCTACGACCTGACTGAACGTTATTGCCATTCTGTTGCAGTGTACATATGTATGTATGTATGCCATAAGATTTAATACTTACAGGCAGCATTTAATAGTTGCTGGATGTAGTATGGTAAGTGTCAAAAATATTGGTTTCATGGAAATATTGATGATGATCGACGAAATTAGGTAATTTATGTTAGAAAGTGAAGACATTAGTTACATATTAGTTCATTTTTGCACCACGGTCTCATCATAATAAATCATTATAGATCCCCATAGATCATTATAGATCCCCATAGATCATTATAGATCCCCATAGATCATTATAGATCCCCATAGATCATTATAGATCCCCATAGATCATTATAGATCCCCATAGATCATTATAGATACCCATAGATCATTATAGATCCTCATAGATCATTATAGATCCCCATAGATCCCTATATGAAATTATATATTCCCGTAGATCCCCATAGATACCCATAGATCACCATAGAGTATTATAGATCATTATAGATTCCTTGGGTCCCATTCGTTGGTCAGACATTCTTTCACCCTGGATCAGTTGATTGAAGGTTTGGTGTTGTAAGAAAACTAATTTAATACCATTCTTATACGATGATTTAGTGAAGTGGAAAGTGAAGAAATTATTTAATTTATTAGTTAATTTTTGCACCAAGGTCTCCAATGCCTCGTACATCATCTCAGTACCGTACAATGTCCCTGATCTCTCTCAAACCAAGGAGTTCCATAAATTTCTAATAAGAATATCGACATCTCAATTTTCTTGTGTTAGCACAGACTTCAATACTTCAATTCCCCTAAACGGTCCCATCGCCAGCATGCACCGTCCAATCCTCTTAAACAATCCATCCAAATTGAAAGAGTCCCACCCACCTGAAGACAACATCCCCCCCCCCCCCCACAGAAGGATCTTAATATTTCACCAGCATCAACATCTTCCACTTTCCCCCCGTGACACGTGGACCAGAGACATCAGTATTCCGTGCTCACTCGAAGCTGTCTAATGCATTGCGCCCGTCTGATAAGCCCGCTGGGAGCTCGATGATCATCCCACCAAGGTCGAAATGCAGCCGCCCCATCCATTACGTTACACGTCAGATCGCGGAAGGAAGAAGGAAACCCCATGCATAATCCCCGAGAACTCGATCACAGTCTTCTCTGGAAGCAATACAGCCCGACCAAGTAGAGATCTTTTTGACGCACGCACACATACACACGTAAAAGGAAGGGGGACAAGATAGAGGAGGGAGAGAAATTAAAGAATCAATTTCTCCTGTTTTCACGGAACCTAGGGGAACTGAATTACGATCTCCTTAACGAAATGAGATTTCGTTCGTTTTAGCGATGGAATTCTACGCGTTAACGAAATTAAACCCTTCCTCGCGCCAAGAAGTTCGACGGAGAGAAAGCCTCTTCAATCCCTCCTGGGCTAGTAGACGCGGGACGCCAGAAGAAATAATCAAATCAATGGGAAACGTTGCACTCCCTCCCAACCTTCATCGGGATATTAATTTTTTATGAGGGGGACACAACGAGAATTGACGGAATTGCTCTCGTTTGCGATAATAGGGACGCCGCGAGGTTCCTTATTCATTTCCCTTGGGAATGGATAAGGTGCAGGGGGATAAAGTGTGGTACACCAGGATGTAGACTTTTAGGTGTGTAGATCAGACCTTCTTTTATATTGGATCGTTTTGTTGTTCTTAGTTTTATCCGATTAAAGGTTCCAATTATGGTAGGAGCATTGAATAATTAAATTAGATGTCGAACAATAACAGTCTAAATGTACAGTTCTCATAATGGATACTATAGATCTTATAGATTCCCATAGATCAGTATTGTTGCCCATAGATCATTATCATCCTGGATCACTTTTTCGAAGATTTGATGTAACAAGACCAATTTGTTACAATTTTTATGCGAGGATTTGATGAAGATTTGTAAGTATAATTTTCCAGATTGGAAACTCGACTGTGATATTAACCTGAAAAAGATTTCAAATAATAATTGTAATTGTAAACTATCAAATAATAATTGTTTTATTGTATGTAGTAAATGGAATATAATTTAACAAAAATGATTAGTAGAATTTTTCATATTATACGATAAACTGTGGAAATATTAATTCATTTTAAACTTGATTTTCTTATTTTAAATTCGATTACATTTATCATTAATACACGAATCTGATATTAAATTGAGTGAATATCCACGAGGTATCGATATCAAAATTACACGAAAGCATCATTTTCATAATATTTTACGTCCTCGTATTCTGATCATATCAAATGGATTAAATATTAAAACAAGCAAAAACAGTTACGCAAAAGCATCTCAATATGAAAAGACTTTTTGCTTGCATGAAACTGATTTCAGTAGAAAAAAAAACCATACAATCGAGGATTTATTCATAGTCGGCTGAAATAACGACGGACCAAGGGATCTAACAAGCCCACGTTATGAAACTTCCAACTTTGAAATATTTCATTACCGAAATTCCGACACTAACAGAGTCATTTCACCGCGGAACAATGCGCGGGGGTCGACTTCAAACCGCAATCCCCGGCCACGGTATCTCGCATTCAAGCTCTAAGGATATTAAATATTCAATACCAGGCACCCAGTGTATCGAGACATGACAAGAGAATCCACGTCGGGGTCCGGCTTTCTTGTATCAACTGGAGAATCTGAAATTACAATACACTCCTCCCTTTGATACGGCTAATTTGACGTGGGACAAATCGATCCAACGAGGCAACACCTTGCACACCTGCATAGCGTAATTCCTATTCTTCACTGATTTGATAAGACAGGCGTATTTGGTGAATACTCGCATCTTCCTACGGATCAAGTCAGATTTATTGTCTATCTGGTATGAAATTTTTCTTAGAGTTCCCAATAGACCCTACGAAGAATTTTTAATAGACCCTACGAAGAATTTTTAATAGATCCTACGAAGAATTTTTAATAGATCCTACGAAGAATTTTTAATAGATCCTACGAAGAATTTTTAATAGATCCTACGAAGAATTTTTAATAGATCCTACGAAGAATTTTTAATAGATCCTACGAAGAATTTTTAATAGATCCTACGAAGAATTTTTAATAGATCCTACGAAGAATTTTTAATAGATCCTACGAAGAATTTTTAATAGATCCTACGAAGAATTTTTAATAGATCCTACGAAGAATTTTTAATAGATCCTACGAAGAATTTTTAATAGATCCTACGAAGAATTTTTAATAGATCCTACGAAGAATTTTTAATAGATCCTATGAAGAATTTTGAATAAATCCTATGAAGAATGTTCAATAAAACCTATGAAAAATGTTTAATAAATAGTAATAATGTTTAATAATGAATAGATCATTCTAAATCGCTATAGATCAATATAGATCCCTATAGATCATTAAACCGATCCTATGACGAATTTTTGAGTGATTTTATAAAGATTTTGTTTATATATCTTGCGAAGACTTGTTAATAAATCCTATCAAAATGTATAGATCCTATGAAGATTTCTTAATAGATCCTATGAAGTATTCTTAATATATCTTCTAAAAAGTTCTTAATATATCCTGTGAAGACTTTTGAATATATCCTACGCAGATTTTTCAAAACTTCCTACGAACTATTCTTGATAGGCAAATTTTTTAAAACTGATGGCTTAACTAAAATATAATTTTCAAAAAAATCCCTCCAACTTTTCAGAATACAAACAGAGAATAATATTACATTCAACTGGAACATCTCAGATAGCTCTGTGAAGATGTTTCGAAAACACGAAGGATTCTCGTTGCGTGAAACTGTGAAAGAGCACGGCCGAAAAACAGCTAGCGGAATGTGATTTTCCGCGCGATACATAGCCTCCAGGAGGAAATCATGTGTCTTCAAGCATGCACGGGACATCGACCGCGAAATTCCCATACGATATGCCGGGGCAAATTGCGTTCCGTGTTCCTCCATGGCGTGTGTAACACAGGGAATTTTCTCTGATTTTTTTCAGGAACGGCTCCTATTGAGCGTGTTGCCCAGGCACGTAGCCATGGAGATGAAAGCCGACATCGCCGGCAAGCCGAAGGATACCATGTTTTACAAAATTTACATTCAAAGGCACGAGAACGTAAGGTAAGCATTTCCCGAGCCGAACCCCGAAAGGGAAACATGCTGACAGAACGATACTATTGTTTCGAAAAATAAAAAAAAAGAACGTCAAGGGACATGGGAGCTCATCACGGGACACCGATAAGGGGATACGGTGGACCAAAGGTCCATTGACCTATCTTTGAATAATTTTTGTTTGGTCATTTCGCTATCGGTAAAAAAATATATATGTATATAAACCGTTGATATATTTTCATTAGATCAGTATACCCCCTATCATAATCCCTAGAAGAACAGTGCAATAAATTTTGATCTATTTTAATCAGAATTGAATTTCAGGAGAAATGAGAACTTCATTTAGTGTATTGATCAGCCAATAGAAAAATTAATTCATTTACTTTTCATCAATTTTTGTTAAATCATTCTGGGATCGATACAAAAATAACAAAATAAATAAAAATTTATGTTCACAAATTTAAAATGTTATTAAAGATTTACTAAATTAACGCCAAATTAAGATCTGACGGAGAAAGTATATTTTCAATACGAAAATTATACGTCTGGAGATTTCGAGAGAATTAATTGATATTAACGAGGGTACCGAATAATTACGAAGGATAGTGTACGTTCTGTCTCCGGGGAGATCCGAGCTCCATAATGCATCAGTGGTGATACACACGCGTCCGTCATACGTTAGAGTAACACGCGTCCGACACTCGTGCCTCGTTAAAGTCACCAGACCCTCCCCACTAACGAATTCCAATTAACACCTACGTCACTTAATAAAAACCTACTGGATCCCCTCGGAAGACTCTAACCCTGAAACTGTTCCACAGCATCCTATTCGCAGACATCTGCGGATTCACGTCGTTATCGGATCAGTGCACCGCCGAAGAGGTCGTCAGATTGCTGAACAAATTGTTCGTATGGTGAGTGACAACAAAATTAACTGAATGATTCTTTTGGATTCGATTAAAAATTAATAACCACGATAATTATTGAATGATGGGTGGACACGTTATGTAGTGAGCAAATTAATTGTTAGAAGTTGCTTTTTTTTTTTTAAGTGGAGAAGTAAAAGTCCATTAGAAATTAGCTTGCAAAGATTTAATATGAAAAAGGTGATTAGAAAAATTTTATCTAGAGGATATAGTGAAATAAACATCTTTGGGGAAATTTAAGTCTACTAGATATGAATTTTTGAAGATCTATTGTCAGAAGATGATTAGAAATTCTGTAATTAAAAGAATTTTATCTAGAGGGAAGACAAAAATAAAATTCTTATCATTAGAAAAGTTTAAGCTCATTTCAGAATTTAATTTATGACAATAACATTATGAAAAAGTAATCAGAAATTCTGTAATTATAAATATGTTTTTATCTAGAGATAATACTAAAATGAAAATGGCATTGTGATGTGATATTTTGCAGGTTTGACACTCTGGCGGCGGAGCACCATTGTCTCAGAATCAAATTGTTAGGGGACTGCTACTATTGCGTTTCAGGGCTGCCAGAGCCGAGACCTGATCACGCGCGATGTTGTGTGGAAATGGGTTTGGACATGATTAGCGCAATCACGTGAGTTCCTGTCGGATTGACTTCGCCGTTACAACCCAGCTTTCATGACTTCCACGCCACCCTTTATTTATCCTGAATCAGTATTAGGTCTTTATCGATGGAAAAAAAAAACAGGAACAACTGAATTATACGAAGAGTAAACTAATACTGCAATACCTTAAAAATATTTATACAGAAACAAGAATTTTAGATTAATGAAACATTATATTAATTAAATACTGAATTAGTAAAATATTCAATTGGAGGATGCATGTTAATCGAATGTTATATTAATCAAATATTAAATTAATAAAATAATGAATTGATTAAGTCTGTTCACTAAATATTATAATAATCAAATACCAAATTAATAAAATATTGAACTAGACACTTACGTTTTTTTATATTAATTAAATATTATGTTAAGAAAGTGTTATGTTAATCAACTGTTTAACTTTATGTAAATAATAATTTAATGATCTGGGTTAGCGAAAAACTAAGATAACCACGTTCTAATCCATAACCGATAATGACCTAAAACAGACAATGGAACAATGATGGATTGACTATAGATTGATAACGGGATTAACATCGCCGTAATCTGAACCTTTGATACGACCGACATGACTCTAAGCTGAATCGGGGATGACTAGAAGCCGACTCAGAGCTTACAGTGAGCTGACCCTATACTGTCCACAGACCAATCATAAACTAACAACAAACAGATTTGACGAACACAAATGACGTTTAATTTGACCGCAAGATTATCGATCTAACCAACATGTGACCACTGACGAGAAGAACAGTTGTCCACGAATCAGACTGAAAGCAAATAAAAGAATAGAAAAAAAATATAAATTGAATGAACAAGATCATCTCAACTCAAAATAAATGCATTAAAATGAGCTCAGAATGAAGGAGGTCAAATTAGCTCTGAATGAACAAGATCAGACGAAGAATGACCAAAGACCATTAAATTCATGAATAATTAGTACCTCTCAGATGCATCTTAATATTTTTAATAATTACTTCATTAAAACCCACCCTCCAATAATCCAGTATTCTCAGTTTTCTCAAACAATAAATTCTACAGAATCTTTTTATTGGAAGTGAACTATTTTTTACGGAAACTAAGGTAATTGTGAATTCACCACTCGTATCCAGGTACATTTTGATCAGGTGACACCGGCCTGACATTCACGTTTACGTGGGAGAATTAGATCGTCGGTGGTTTACTCTCTGAGGAAATCAACCCTTCGACCACGGCAACTCGTTTTTTGTTCCCGTCAGTACCGTAACGAGAGCCTGAGCTGAGAACAGTCGTCTCGAGAGTCCGCGTTTTACTTTGACTCGTTTACTTTCTTTCCGGCTCTTAAGGCGGTTTCTCACCGACCAACCACCACTACCACGTTTTTCCTCTTCTACTCAACCGCCAGGAGGCAGAAAATCCAAACGAACATTGACACTGATTGCAGAGGCAATCTACCAAAGTCATAAACAACATATAAAAATATTCCTACAAGTAAAAAACAATCATGATAAAAGAAGAATAATAAATAGAATTCTTAAGAAGAGATTAATGTGAATTCCGAAATGTATAGGAAAGGTCTGATCTATCAACTGATCTATATGGATCATTGTAACGATATTGAACTCTTGATTCTCGAATGACTAGTCTGAATCGTCCAGGTAATTTAATCCTACAGGTGAACTCGGGATGAGATTCGAAGTACAGATTAATTAATAAAATACACAATTTAAAAATGAAAATCTACCGTTGTATTTCTAGTGAAAATTAAATCGTATCCATACAGAAAATGAATCTGAATGAAATTGTACGTGGAGGGATGAAGTTAAATGGCAGACAATCAATACTTATAATTAAATTTCTGTACTGGAAATCCCGATTAAAAAATCGTTTTTATTCCAGTTCCTGTTACAATATTAACTAATTGAATTTATTAATATATTCTTTTATTTATAACTGGCACCAATATAGATGTAATAACGAAACTTCGATTTTGAATCGATCAGATATTGAATAATTTAAATAATTAATATTTTAAAGGAACATAATTAATGTGACTTGATATTTAATTTCTAAACGACCAGATATTCAGTGACTTAAATAATTTTTTAGAAATACCTAGTTGGAACGACCCGAAATTTAATTTCTAAATGATTAGATATTCTGGAATTCAAATAATTAATATTTCGAAAGCCTAATTCGTACGACTTCGACTTCAATTTTTGTTAATTTATGGCATGGTGCGCTACAATGGAATAAAAATTAATTGACCATTTTTCCAGGCTATATCGCGAGGTAGGAGCTGTGAACGTGAACATGAGGGTCGGAATTCACACTGGAAGGGTGCACTGCGGGGTTCTGGGGCTGAGAAAGTGGCAATTCGACGTCTGGAGCAACGACGTCACTCTGGCAAATTATATGGAAAGCGGCGGTGTGCCTGGGTAAGCAATTGTCGACCGCACAATATCACGTGTCACCTGAGACGAGTAATGAATGTGGAGAATACCAGAAAATTGGGCTCGGATCCCCATTTAATCATATTGGTACGAAATTGCAACCAGGTTCTTCCTAATCATACATTTTATATACAGGAACCATGAAAATTTTCGTTCATAAATAAATTAAACCGATTCAACCAATTTGCAATATTAGCAACAACAAATTCTGAGAATGAAAAAATTTATTTGAAAATTCTGTAATTCCCTGGAAGACCAATTGTATTTAACAATTCTTTTATGGTTCGAAAGATAAGTGGAAATGAAATCGAGGATCATAAAATAGTCGAAATGATCAACAAATAAACGTTTAATTGTCCTCGACGGTACGTTCAACGAACAATTAATCGACTGGTTCTAGGCGAGTACACATCACGAAAGAGACACTCGACTGTCTGGGCGGCTATTACGAGGTGGAGGAGGGCCACGGGGGCGAGAGGAATACGTACCTCAAGGAGAACAATATCAAAACGTACCTGATCGTCCCCGGGGACTCGTTTAAGGGCAACATACCGTCCACTGGACTTAGGAAGGGTCTGCCCGCGAACGGAAACGTGTCCAAGGAGATGAGGGTGATGGGACACGGATCGCAGCACGGCAAACAGTCCAAGTAAGTGCACCCTACACTCCCCTGTCTGTCTGCCCGACCAGAAAATCGATATTTTGAATTGACGAGAAACTTCGAGATTCTCCCACTCGAAAATTGAAGATTAAATTACTCGAAAGTGGGAAATTGTTCTATTTGGAAATGCCACTAATTGCCATCGACATTATTTGAAAATGCCATTACTTGCAATCGACACTGTTTGGAAATTCCATTACTTGAAGTCGACACTATTTGGAAATGATACTATTTAGATACAGCACTATTTGAAAAAGTCACTATTTAGAAATAGCAGTATTTAGATATAACACTATTTAGAAATGGAACCATTGAAGAATGGTAACTACTTGAAACTGAAACCACTTGGAAATTGAATAATAGAAAATTGAGTAATCTAAAAATTGAACCACCTAAAAATTACTACTATTCCTCAAAATCAATTACATAGTAGATTGTATGTTTTCTTTTTAAATGATTGTAAAATGACTAGAGGTTTGTAATTGTACGTTCTACCATTTCTCAATATCGATTGTCGATTATACGACAGGCTTGGCTTCGGTGAGACGAACGAGCCAAAGAAGGATCCAGAGGACGAGGTGAACGAGTACCTGATGAGGGCGATAGACGCCAGAAGCATAGATCGATTAAGGGCAGAATACTGTACACCGTTTATTCTAACATTTCGACGACCTGACGTTGAGGAGAAGGTACTGAAAAAATAATTTTCCACAAGATTTTCATGAAAATAAAAAATAAAATCCATAAAAAAAATAAATTCCAATAAATCACAAAGCATTTCCGAACCTGAAGATTATTCTTTTCTTCGCGTAATTTATGTACATATAGTGACGATGAAATTTTTTAACGTGTTTTTCTGTTTCCTTCGACAATTTGTTGCAGTATTCTCGCGAACGGGACCGAATGCTCTCGGCGTACTTCGTCTGCTCCGGGTTCGTGTACATGGTGGTCGTGATCGCCATAGCAATCACTCTGAACGGGTAAACAATGCAATCGAAACAAATACTATATTCTACAAATCGATATTCCTTTCCCTCCAATCACCGACTAACCGACCCGATTTCAATTAACCAGTTCCTGAGTCTTAATCAACCTCGAAACACATTCTGACAACTCCACAAATTCAATGGACTATTAAAAATGAAAAGAAAAAAAGATTGAAACATTTTTTAACGGATCTAGTAATTGTTTATGTAGTTTTCTGCACGAAATACGGTTCGATGAATGATTTTTCAGGAGCATTTATTTCTACGCCTGCATAGCTCTGAGCGCTGTACTGATAGCGTTGATCAACGGAATCCTATTGGCCGAGAAAAATGAGGTAGGTTAGTTCATATTTGATCCAGAAATCACGGGGGACACGATAGAGAAACGGTTCTTTTTTTTTTTTTTTTTTTTTTTTAACAATCTCCAGCGAAACTAGATCAATCGTAAGGCTGTTTGGAATCTTGCCACTTCCTCTTAACCTTGAATTCGTGGCTGGATTCCAGGTCAGTGGTGGCATCATCGATTCACCAATTATAGAGTGAACGATACTGTATCATTGCGGCAAAGAAACTGAGATCATTGATCCTCTGAACTTAACTTTATTTAGGATTTATGATTGCTCATCATCACTAGAATATTAAAATATATCCTACAGTGAAATATTTTGTTTCTTAATATACATTAAAACACTTTGAAAATATCAGGGACTTTTCGAAATTGTAATTTTCAAAGGTACTATTGTGTTTCAGATGGTTCCAAAAAACCTTAGAAAGTTAGCTGTGCACATTTTCGAGAACAGGGGAGTTTCACAGGCACTGGCCACATGTGTCGTGTTCCTGACGTTCATCACTTCTCTAAGTCCACTGGTAAATGATCCATTTTCGTTAAATAACAATAATATCACGACAATATTCTCTGCTCAATAGTAGTATAATGGTAACGTAATCAATGAATTAACGTTGGACTGAATAGAACCTATATTTGCACTGTATTTGAAATATATTTAGACTATTCGTAAGGACTATTCATTTGGACAGTGTTTTTATATATTTGAACTATATGTTTAGACTATATTTAGACTGTAATTAATCTGCATATTTAGATTATAGTTAGTCTATACTTAGGCTATATTCAGACTATATGCAGACTATACATATAAACTATTTGTACTGTACAGTTGGACTACATCTACTGTAATTTGTACTATTAATGATACCGTATCTATATGTTTATGTAGTTTAAATTTGTTTAAAGATCTATAATAATTATTACATTCTGTACATTCACTACGTTCTATAATAATATTACACCACTCAGAATACCATAGAACCTTAAAGATGCTGATGAATGAACAGCGATTGATTTCGAATGATTTCCATCCTGGTTAGTTCGCCGCTAGAAATCGTGAAACATGTCGAGAATCTATCAATAGGTAACACGAAGACAGTACCCCGTTACGTATGGCTACGACGAATACCAGGGATCACCAATCATCGCTAGCGGAGCAAGTAGAGAATCAACGGGTAACCATGGACACGATCAATCACACCATAGGTGTGTCTGTATATGTGTGGATCGATCGATAAAATTCGTGCAACGCAAGAACAGAGAACGCACACACACACACCATATACTTCCTGATTAATGGGGAATCCCCTACGTTACGATCACCTTGATCCCCATACATCGTCTATATACATCATCCCAAAGAAGATACACGATTCGTCTTATTCCAGGCTTTCTTTTATCAATTGCAGCTAACGCTCGAAGGGATACGAGTGTGCGGCAACGGGACATCCTTCGTCGAATGGACAGACAATTCCAGCGTGACGTACACGAGTATCGAGACAGCTGGCGATGTCTGTTACTATACTGTATTCGCTGACGTAAGTTAGGACCATCAATCTTGTGTGATTAAGATCGCAATTTCTTTTTTTTTTTTTTTTGACGAGGCATCAATCTAAGCTTCGAGATCTGGAACCATGTTACACTGGAGCAGGATATAAGAGATTTTTTGCATGTAATTGATTTACTCGGAGTCTTCCTAAAATATATTTTGGAGGTGTAATAGAATTGTTTTAAAATATGTTTTGGAGTTGCTGAAAATATACTCGGAAACTACTACACTTACTCTAAACAGAGTTCTAACTTCGATATAGAGTCCATAAAATTTTTCTACCAGAGATCCCCCATATCACAGAAGATTCAATAAATCCCTAATGATTAAAATTGTAATCCTCTAGAAAATAGAATTAATTAGTTCCCTACAATTATCCCAATTTCAGACTCAACACTTACTCTAAACAGTGTCCTAACTCTGAAATAGAGTCCATCCAATTTTTCTACCAGACTAGAGATTCTCCATATCACAGAAGATTCAATAAATCCCTAATGATTAAAATTGTAATCCTCTAGAAAATAGAATTAATTAGTTCCCTACAATTATCCCAATTTCAGACTCAACACTTACTCTAAACAGTGTCCTAACTCTGAAATAGAGTCCATCCAATTTTTCTACAAGACTAGAGATCCTCCATATCACAGAAGACTTAAGAAACCCCAGAAAGTGCAGATGGTAGTCCTATAGGAAATAGGATTAAGTAATTCCCTGAGATTGAGGGGGTGGCCTGGATACTTCACAGAGGGGAAATTAATTTTCCAGCTATTCCCTGTACTGGTGATGCTGGTGATGATAACCTGCGCGGTCTACCAGATCCTCACGTCTGTGTTCAAAGTGGCGATACTCAGCCTGGTGGTGGCTTCCTACCTGGGCGTCAGTATATACGAGGCCCTGCACGAAAAAGACGTCGAGCTGACTGGCAGATGGCTAGCAGGCGTTTTGGTGGTTTTCTTTATGGCGTGTCTTGTTGCCCACTCCCAGCACACGGAAGCTACGTACAGGTGAAATATCTTCGGCGGGATTTGATTAACAGGCTGTCAGACCGACGTGGTTTAATTTATAGAAAATACCTTCGTGCCATATAACGGCAGGGGCGAGTAACGAAATTAATTTACCATTGGAAAGATTGAAACAATATTAATATGAAATATAGTCGACTATAAATCTGAAGTATGATTTTTAATGTACTTGGGAATTCAGAATAATTGATGGACCGATTTGAGAGTTCAGGTAGTACAAAGTTATTGCTTCACCTTGCAGGTGCAATAAAAATTTTAACATTAAATATAATGTATATTTTAATGATCATTTCAGCCAGTTAGTTATCAATAGAATTTTTTTTTTTTGTATGATTGATGTACAGATTGGATTTCCTGTGGAAGCTACAAGCCACAGAAGAGAAAGAGGAAATGGAGCATCTGAAGGCCTACAACCAGAAGCTCTTGGCGAACATACTTCCGGAACACGTTGCAGCCCATTTCATGTCCACCGTTAATTCAGACGTGAGTGATCGAATATTTCCATCTCTATGAAAATACATCCAATTAATTTTTGTGTTTGTTCTCGAATAACATGGCATTGTGTTTCTGTGTGTTCTAATTAATTATGAATTGTTAATCTACATAATAACATACATTCTTCACAATTATGTTAGTGAAATATAACGCCAAGTATTGAACATTGGCAATGGCATTTCGTTGAATATTATTAACTACATTGGACGTATAAATGCAAACAAAATTTCAATCTCAGCCTTTACGTAATAATTTGATATTGAAGTAAATATTCTAATAAAATAATAAGCAAATTTAATATATTTTTATTTTAAATTTATGTATAAGTGGCAATGCAACTACTAAAAATATTAAACATACCTTACATCGTGGAAAAACATTTTTTAGTCAATATTTCAATCATATTGGATATTTTCATAAATAACACCAAATGTACTCGGACGACTCTAGTGAATAAATGTATCCAACTGACTATGTCGAAATGACGATATCGAAATAATTATTCTCATCATCAAATTACTGCATTTTCTAGTCAATGAGTTACATACTAAGACGTTTCTGGACTCTGAGAAACATGTCAATTACCAAAAAAACCAGGGACCACCAATCTCAGAATATCGAAAATCAATGTTTCGGGTTGAAATGAATACTTATAGGAGCTGTATCACGAGCAGTGCGACTTCGTCTGTATAATGTTCGCGTCGATACCAAACTTTTCCGAGTTCTACGTGGAACTCGAGGCAAACAATGAGGGCGTCGAGTGTCTGAGGCTGCTGAACGAGATCATCGCCGATTTCGACGAGCTCCTGGCCGAGGAACCGTACAAGTACATCGAGAAAATTAAAAGCACGGGCGCCACATATATGGCAGCTTCCGGTGAGAAACTTTTTCATTCTTTTTTGTTTTTTTTTTTGCCGTGAATTAAATTCAACTCGCGTCGATTAAAATTCAACTCCGTGTACACGGCCTTACTTTCCCTCGTGAACATTTTTCATCGGATTTTCCGCGTTGCAAAAGTTCGACGAAACTACAGCCCAGTTTTTTTTCTCTGTTTCTATTTTTCCTCGCGCTTCGGGTAGCGTGGCACTATTTTTCCAGAACTTTTTTTCCCACACAATGCAAAAAAAAAAAAATGGTGCGGCGTTCAGAGAAATTAATCGAAAATGATTCGGGAAAAGTTTCAGGCAACAACTGAATCGTGTGAAAGGAAATTTTACTTTCTTTCTGTAGGTATTGTAGTTTTGAATTTTCCTCTAAATTCTAATTACTTGCAAAATAACAGAGACTTTTGATTTCCGTTGATATTAAGATTCTTTTTAATATTAACAGTTTTGATAAATAATGGCAGTGAATTTCTTCCAGGATTAAAATTACTTACAGAATTACAGGAATTTTTATTTCTTCTTATGTGAACCTTACCCGATTTGAAATAAAAGAATTTAAACTTTGGAAAATAATGGACGTGAACTCGTGTCTGGAATTCAGATTAATTATAGAATTGTAGAAAATATTATTTCTCCTTATATGAACGATGTGTGGTTTGAAATTAAAAATTTGAGAATTTAAGCTTTGACAATAATGGAGGTGAATTTTTTCTGGAATTTAGATTAATTACAGAAGTTTTTACTTCCCATGTGCACAACGTCTGCTTTACAATTAAAAGTGTGAGGGAACTTAAATTTTGAAAAATTATGGAGGTGTGTACTCGGTGGAGTTTCTGTGCGGTACTTGAAGTAAGTCTAACGAGGACTCGACATTTTACTGAATTTTCACTAGTCAGAGATGTATTTAGAAATCTGGAGATTTCGAGAAATTTAAATCCTTGATTTCGTCTTGTGTGCAGTGCATGCATTTTTCAATCGAACATTCTAAACTTTCATATTTCTGAGATATAAGGAGAACTTGGAGAGATTCCACGTAACAAGTAAATGGTAGTTGCTTTTATGATTATGAAAGTTCGAAACAAAGGGAATCTTTTCTCTGTAGGTAAACTTGTATTCTATTCACAAATTGAATACAGTATCCTTTTATTGGAAATACCTACTGAAACACAAACTGAAGATAAATATGTTCAGAGGTCTATGAAAATATTCAACAAAACATGGTAATTTCTTTTGAAGTTCTTTCAATTCAATTTTCGTAGGAACTTTTAAACACTTTTATATTAATGTAATTTCTTGTGTATAGGTTCGTATCCACCCAACCAATCTTCTCTAAATTTCAAAGTTTCAGTAACCACGTGTACCTTTAAATCTCCCATTTTTAATTGATTTTATTTCCCAATTAAAATTGTGGTAAAATCAACAAGGGTCATACCAGTTATCGCATGCACACAAAACACAATCAACTCAACAAATATTCCTACGGCCCTGATGTTTACATAAAAATATAATTTACAAAAACTCTTCTATCTACCTTCATTTAGGAATACAAACTACCACAGAATGTCATTATTTTATAAATTATATAAAAATAATAACAAAAAAGATCAACAACACTGGTAGAAAATAAGGTAACTAACAAATTCCATCGTCTGTTGTAATATTTCCGAAGATTTTCCGAATTCTAGGAAGAAATCACTGGTACGGGTTAATGGATTCTGAAAATCGCGAAGAAATGAGAGAAAATGGACATTTAAAGGGTATTTATGGTAGCTAAGGTATTTTCACGGTGGCCATTTCTCTTTTCCTCAGGTTTGACGAGAAGCACCTGCGACATGAAAGATTACACGCACGTGACCGCGATGGCTGACTACGCGCTCAGGATACGAGAACAGCTGGCCTACGTTAATAAAGAGAGCTTCAACAACTTCCGGTTGCGTGTGGGCATCAATATTGGACCGGTAAACGTCAATCAATCTCGTCCTAACCCGTTACACGGTGTTCACGACACGCTATTCCGCGGTTCGACATTGAATTAAACCTGAATATGTCAGAGAAACTCTCGAGAAACAAGGGAAAATAATAAGATTTGTGGGAAAATTGACTAAGAAAATAATTATTAATTGATTATTAGTTGAAATATTAGCCATTTTTTATCTTAATTTACAATCTTCCTATTTAAAAGCAAATGGAATATAACTAAAAATATACTTTTCCATTTCATGAGTCTATAAAAAAACATACAGGAATTATTAATTTTGTATCGTCCTACATAATTATAAATATTTGAACTAGATCGTGTATAATAGAAATAGGATTCGTATTAAGAATAATTGAATTTCTGATTACTTAAAAAATTAAGTAATATACATTTTTTCCAAATTATGAGAATAATAGATTCTCTATGATTTATGGGACCACCTATTCAACCTTAAAGTAGCTGATAATGTGGTCGTAAATAATCTGTAGTAACTGACGGCAGCAGGTGTAAACAGGTGTCACGCCCACCAGTAGTGGTCTGAAGGCCCAATAACCTGAGGACCCCACTCAGGTGGTTAGGTAAATGGTACCCTTGTCAGGTGCAGTCGACCAGATGATTGCTTATTAGCTACCGTAAGCTACTTAAGTAGAATTGATTTACTGACTTCATTCCTACTTTATTTTCCTATAAATTTATTAATCCTATAAATTTATAATAATGACTATGAATATATTAAATATTGACCAACGGATGTAAGTTGAAGTCGTGGTTTTACTGGATTTTTTATAGTGTATAAACATTTCCAGTACTGTATATTAACATGAACATATTAAAAACAAGACCACCCAAAAATTTTCAAACAAAATTTCATTACATTACAATAAGAATTGTGAGTACTATATAAATTTATGAATGATGTAATAAATATTTCCAGTACTGTAAATTAATACGATCATACAGACACAAGATCTGTGTAGAAATTTTCCAATGAAATTTTCCAAGTAAATAATTTAAATCTAAAGGAAAATATATACCTACTAATATCAAGAGTTGAAAGAAATATACCTACCGATATTAACGGTTGAAAAAATAAACTATTATTGAATATCAACAGTTGAACGAATATATCTATACCTACTAATATCAACAGTTGAACAAATATGTATACCTACTAATATCAACAATTTAAAAAACTATACCTACTGGCATCAACAGTTATCGAAAGTCAGCTATTATTGAATATCAACAGTTGAAAAAAAAATATATAATCTGAATGTTCGAAACAGGTGGTGGCAGGTGTGATAGGGGCAAGGAAGCCGCAGTACGACATCTGGGGTAACGCGGTAAACGTGGCCTCGAGAATGGAGTCGACCGGCGTCTTGGACGGGATTCAGGTCACCCAGGAGGTCCGCGACATCCTGATCGCGAAAGGATACCCACTAACGTGTCGGGGCACCATTCAGGTAAAAGGCAAGGGCAGCATGGTCACACACTTCCTCGACGGACCACGAAGCCAACCGAGATCCAACGAGAACGTCGACAACAAAATCAATTCGAACAACAACAGCAACACTGGTGGAACGGTGTCGTCGTCAGTCGTTAACGTCTGAGAGAAAATTTCATTTTTCTTATGAAAAATAATGAACGAAGGAACGAAGAAAAAAATTGTACCATTCGTTGCACAGCCATGTGTGCTAAAAGAGAATTTTGGAAAATTTTCTTCTGGTCGAAGAATTGGTGAAAATTTTCTTCTGGATGAAGAATTGTTGCAAATTTGTGCAAGTGGAGGCTGGAATATTTTTCAGAATAATTTGAGCAAGAGATCTATGGAGGATTGAATACGAAAATGAGCAGAAGAGATTTTGAAGATCTCGTGAGACCAGGATTTTTTTTAAAGTCTGAACAAATTATTTATGGGAGAAAGGTGAAAATTCAAGCAGAGGATCACTGGTCCAAGAATTATTTCGAGTAATATCATCGATAGAGGTAATTCGGATAGTCGAGAATGGTCTACATACGTGTTTTGAACTTCTAATGGATGTTAGATTTGTAAATTAAGAACGATAAGAGTCTAATAATATTTTGTCAAGGACTCCTATCAGGAAGGATCACTCTGGAGCCTAAGAGAATTATATTTATAAATACATTCAAGAAATGATGTCCTATTTTTTAAGGAAGTTGCAAGGGAACCACGTGAATCTATAGAATTAAAAAGGATTATTCGTGAACCCTTCGAATTCACCATTGTACCGAATTTAAAGTACTTGTGGTATACATCTGAGAAAGGAAACAAGATATACAAAATCAATAATGGAAGAAAAATAGGAATCGAGCCGAGCAATTATTTTTCTTCTTCAATTGAATGCCTGGAACACAATCATCGAGTGCCGTCCTTGAAAACGGTTCAATCGATTCTCCACCGAGTTATTCCGTAGACGTAAGTAAACCTAACGAGCAGAAAAAGTCTATTCCTGGTAAATTAAGCTCAAGTTTTCTTCCATGTCCCCCCATTCCCCCAAGAAAAGGAAAGTTACCTTGTACTTAAGCCATATCTCGTGTGTGTGATTAGGTGTTCGAACCATTTTATTCCAGACTTTGTACCGTTATGAAATAACAATTACACGCTGCTTAAACAATTTCTAAACGAACAGTGAGCCACTTATAAAATGATATTAATATCATGATGCATTTCTGAACTATCAAAAAATATTTTATTCTGTTCCTTTCAATCGAACTGTTCTAACTTTGATATTATCAGGAACTTATTGAAATTCGAAATTTGGAAACAGTTGTAAAATACTTGGGAGAAACAATGGAGTTCCCATAAATTTTACATAAAAAAAAATGTCTACAATAACTAACATTACTCTGAAATATTTTTAAAAACTATTCTATGATTAATAAATAAATAGAATTATTATTGTTATTATTAGTGGTATCAATGCTATTCTGAAAAATAATTATTTCAGGAAAAATTGAACTGCACAATTTCCAATGGAATTTAAATTATTACTAGAATGTTTATAAAATTAATGAATTGTTTAAGTTACTGGAAAATTCATACATTTATCTCACTGTTCGTTCGATTGATACGCGTGGTCAATAGTATTTCTAGTCAATAAAGAAAATCTGAGAGACTAATCGTAGCGAGGGATGCTGGACACAACGAAACCGCGATGAAAATCTTCATTCATTTCATTCCTGTTCGTCCTGATATTTCATTCGAAAGGTACGGGACCACAGCAGGTTTCTATTGACAATGTAGATGTCAATGTTGTAATTAGAAGAAATATTCGGACATATGGTTACCAATATTTCATAATTTTTTGTTCTATTGATTACTAATTAACTTTCATAACTTAACAAAAAATGAGGTACTGAAACCTATTTTGAGTACATGGAAAATCTAGTAGAACGTTAATCTCTCATGGAATTTATCTTTAAATATGATGAGGAAACTGAGTATAGAAAATAGTAACAATTAGTACGAAAGGTAATGTAAATAACTGAGGATCATGTATGAACGTATAATAAAATCCTCAGAATTTACACAACTGCCCTATTTTTCCAAATGCAAAAAGTAAAAATAAATAAAAAATTTTTATTAAAAATACAATGTTTCAAATATTTCGAGAAACTGTCCTGTACTCAGAACCACCCTCACCTAACTTGCGATGTTAACAAATATTTATTCAAAAAATCATTTGACTAAAAAATTTCATTCTCTATTATGACAGTTTATCATAATATTCCCTAGATGTCACCTCAATTCTTCATCGTTCATTAATACAAACAATTTTGCTTCTAAGAATAATTGTACTTCTAGAATTGGAACAATTTTGCTTCTACAATTCAAATAATTTTGCTTTAAGAATTCAAAGAATCTTGCTTCTAGAATTCAAAAAGATTTTACTGCAAGAATTCAAATAATTTTACATCCAAAAATTAATTAACTTCTATATCTATGCACACCGTTAGGTATTATCATTTCGCCTAATCCTAGTGTCCCCCAATTATAATTTCCTTCGGTATCGAAGTATAATTTACATTTCATATCATAATATTTCCATTCGTTTTTAATTATCCTCGATCTACATCAATTCAATTGGGATGTCTAAGAAGACCTCTCGCTCAATAAGAAATTTTCTCTATAACATACATGTGTGCGTATATATATACTTAAAAATGAACACGATGAATATGAAATTACGCAAGCGTTTCGATCAAACGCGTATAGTTTTACGTGGATGGCATTCGAGAGTCCGCACGTACCGAAAGTAATTTCACCCTGATCCGACGCATCGACTAAACCTGCACGCGCGACGGACACGTGTATGTACATAACATACATATTTCACGTGTAAGCTATCTCGACAAACAAATAGTTGTATATAGCGACGCGATTTATGCGACAGATAACAAAAATGGATGTTCTAATAGTCAATAACGATGAAGACTTCTGTAAAGTAACTCTCTCAATGGAGTCTGGTAAAATAATTTTCATAATTCAAGCCTACAATTAACTGAGACATGCAAATATAAAAAAGAAAGAACTCTTATCTTATTCCGTTCAGAAAAACAATACAAAATTCGTTGTATCTGATCGAAAAATTTTGTTTTTTATTTTATTATATATTATTGTCTTTTACGTATAAATGCGTAAAATCCAGTCTACCAGAGATATGGAATATTAAATGGGGTACTTTAAGTTTCATAGGAATGGTAACTTTCTTATTGTTGTTTAATTAATTCTGAACACCATACACACTTTGTTCTGCCACTATGATTACGTAATTTATGCAATATTGTCACAGACTTTTTGTCTGAATTTCCCTGAAAATACTGAACATGCAGATGAATTTATATACATACCAGTGAACGTATTAAACAAACATCAGTGTCGCGTGAAATGTAAATTGAACGAATATCCAAAAGATGGAAATTCGCGACACCAACGGGCGCGTTTCACGGTTTGAAAAATTATTCGGTTCAATAAAATGCAGTTACTCTGATGCAGTCTGTATGCTAACGCAATTTAGTTATTAAAAAAACTCGAAATTTTAACGTGGCATACACTTTCTCACTCGAAATTACCGCAAAATTGTTTTAAATGTTGTATCACGCGAATTTAATCATTATTATTAAAGCGGATAGTATTTTTAAAAATGAAACTGTAAATAAAAATATCTTTGGCTTTCAAATTTGTTTTTAAAATGATATTAAAAATCGTAAATGACGCAACTAGATTATTATAATAATTGGATCCCTATCCAACTCGTAGTTCATCGCAAATGAACAAAATTTTTAAATCATTTTTTTTTTTATTAAAATAAACAGGTAATACGGTTTAACTGAGATTCTAACGCAATTGGCAAAATCGAATGACGCTGACGGTGTGATTAACATACCGTTTGCGGATCATTTCTCAAATGAAAATCAAATCCAACACGCAACGAAGCGATCTCTCACGCGACGCAACTACTTGACCTAAAATTTTAATTACACGACGAAAAAATATTACTCGGACGCAATTTCTGTAATTTTCTAAGCTGAAAACCCGAAATGACTTGGACGCAATTTCTGTAATTTTCTAAGCTGAAAACCCGAAATGACTTGAACGTGGATTTAATCAAAATTTTATCGTGATTTAAATTTTAAAAAATATTGAACTGAAAAAACGCGAATTATAGTTAGATTTATTTTCGAACCTTCTTGCAATTGGTTCCACAAACTTTGAACGCCTCTTTGAGCGTCATTTTGGGTACCATTTTGGGTACCATTTTGGGTGCCATTTTGGGTGCCATTTTGGGTGCCATTTTGGGTGCCATTTTCAGTACCAGTTTGGGTACCATTTTGGGTGCCATTTTCAGTACCAGTTTGGGTACCATTTTGGGTGCCATTTTCAGTACCAGTTTGGGTACCATTTTGGGTGCCATTTTCAGTACCAGTTTGGGTACCATTTTGGGTGCCATTTTCAGTACCAGTTTGGGTACCATTTTGGGTGCCATTTTCAGTACCAGTTTGGGTACCATTTTGGGTACCATTGTGGGCGCCGATGAATAGTGCAAACTACAAAATATCTAACTACTCACACACATTTTGCAACTACATAATTAAGTTCACCAGGGGAAAAGCTTATATGAGATTATTTTGCCTGGCTCCAAAAGATGGTTACCAAGCAAGCGACACATTACAAAGTTACTAAATACGTATAATAATATTGTGATCAATGTAACTTTCCAAAGAGTTTCAATTAGTCACCAGTCAATTGAATCTTGTCCAATAGAGGCGAATTAATTAAATGTTCTCTCTTACTCTCTATCTCTCTCACGACGAAAATGTTAAAAGTATTTTGATGTTTCTGGCAGGTCCAGGTATAATAGATGTTTTAATCGACGTGATAAAAAACGATAAATGAGCGATCAAATACGAGCGAGTCCGGTATGTAACTCGAATATCGTGGTTGCTTCGATCTACAGTCGTGCAATTTATTTCACAAAACATATATCCATATATACATATAAACCAATCCTATTTTTTATATTATCTTGCTCTGAACTCCTTGTTGAGGGAATACCATAAAGAAGCTCAAGTGTATTTCCAAAATATGTGAACGCACAATTTTTGTCAAATTTTTTTCAACAACTTTTATATATCCAACTGTAAATAGTAAATTTTTTTATGATTTGTTTTAATTTTTCGCAGTTTTCTTTCGCAGATTAAAGTACTTCGAAGCATCTACAATATTTCTTTTTGGGAAATATGTATTCCTCGAACGAGCTGAATAGGAAACAAAATGTCATATCAAATTAATCGTGAAAAAGTGTTATTATAAGCCTAACCGAAAAATTGTTAGCTTCCTAGCGATAATCGTTTCAAGGAAAAATCCTGAGCCAATATAGCCGGTGTGATTGTTTGTGCGGAAATTCTTTGTCGAGTCAGAGCAGACATTTGATCTCCTATGAAAGAAATACAGGGGGAACACTCGAGTGTCACAACGATATCGAGTGTCCTTTTTCGTGCTGTTCCCAACATACACACGTCTATAAGGGCGAATGGAATTTTCAGGAAATTCGTCAACTCCTGAACGACAGGTCTCGTAAACGACCTGGAAACTATTTTCGCGTGCGATTTCGATGGCCTAAGGAATAATTTCGAGTGCACATGAAACACACTGGCAAACTGTACCATAATTCTGTCCGCGCAATGTGATTTGTCAGATATAATATGAAATAAATTTTTATTTAAAGACACCTCTGTGGAACACCTCAACCATTCCCAAAACTGCTTCCAATATTTCTCAAATATTCTCTAATATTGTATTTTTGAACCCTTTAAATGTTTATGACAAGTTTACTCGTTGTTGCAGAAATAAAATTTGCATTTGCTATTAAAAGTAAAATTTAAGTAAGACGAAAAACATATTCGTAATTTTAACACGTTTTAGAATATTATGGGACAAAAGAAAAATGAAAAGAAAAAACTGGGACTGTTTGATAAATAATGAGATCAAAGAACACCTCGATTCCTCAATATTCTCTACTGATATTTATGTACTGACTCAAATTCTTTTTTCGACTAACAATTTCAACCTAATCAACACACAATATTTCACAGAATATTCACAATATTCCACAGAACAATATTTTCAAATTATAACATAAGAAAAAATACCTCAATTGGTCTAATTTACTGATATAAATTTTGAGAGCACAGGCCCAGTCACATCCCCTAACATGTTCAAGAAACTACCATCAATCTACAGACCAAAATATCCGAATAAGTTAACGAACTTCATTCCAGTTAAATATCGAAGATCCAAAAGAACAATATCCTCCATTAAGATTCACTTTCAAATAATACAAATTTTGGGCGTACTCCAGATATAGACAGTACAGATCCATGGATAAATTAAAATAGAATCTAACACAGACAGAATTCTCTTGCCAATTATTCATACAATAGTCGATACAATGTAACAGAAGAAAAAGGAAAATACTGGGCAATTCCAACACTACGATTTAAATTCGAACTCCAGAAGCATAGATGGCGCGTCGATCGACGAAATCTCAGCGCTATCTTTTCTCCAATGTTGGCACCACTGACTGAAATCCGGTACAGTCGATAATAACAGACTCAGAATTGCAGAGAATCCAGTGGAACGAGTGAGCACGTGGTGTGTGTGTTTGCTCCGTGTCTATTGCCAGTGGACTAGCTGGAATCCAGTCGAGGATTTTTCTCGATCCAGTTTGAACTTTCATTTCCACGAGATGAGGTCAATGGAACCGTCGAAGACTGGGAAAGGCGTCTATCCTTTATGGGACAATGATACCTGCCAAGGGACAACGACACTCCAAAGGTCTGAAATTCGAGAATTGCTGTGTTAGAATACCTTTTATTTAGGAATAATTAAAAACTGTTTTCCCATCGACTATCAGTTGCACAAGACAGTCAGCGACCCAGTTAATGTTATCTTTTGAACCGATTCAGAAGTCTTGTTTTTTTTTTATTCGAGATAATAATTTCGTCATTTTGCTGATTTATTTATTCGATTTGTTAATGGTTGTTTGAATGATAATAATGACTGAAACTTGGTGGTAATTTTTCGTTGATGACTACTATATATAGTCAAGAGTCCATTCAGTAATAGGATTGTGGAAAATTTGGACTGTTTTAATTATTATTTATTAAGAAATACAGATTAAAAGTGAGGAGAATATATATATGGTTTGTAAAATTTTGAAAATTTAATTTTTTTTTAATGAAACTATATTCAATAGTTACTTGACTGTTAACTGAAGGAAACGGGTTTCCTCCGTGATTGCATCAGAATTATCTATAACGGAGATTTGAAGCAAACTAATCACCTATTTGGAGATTATTTCGCCCTTGCTTCAGTTAAATGGAACAAGACTTTGTAATGTTAAAAACTAATTACTTTTGGATTTCGCAACTTTAATTCGAGTAAACAACGAAATAGAAAAATTGCAAACGAATAAAATAAATGTAAGAATCATCGGAAAATAGTTGTACGAATAAATTGAATGTTTTATAATTAATACTATTATAATTTAAATTATCCTCGCTAGACTTTCCCTTAGTAATCATTGATACTTTGCAGCATTTTTCAAAACAAAATTATACAATGAATTTATGAAAAATTGCTTGTTACAGCTAGAGGGAGCGTTTAACGCAATCTCTGCGAATTATTTCTGCAGATCGCAGCAGGACTCGGCCACGTGAGAAACTGTAGATATAAATTCGAACAACATAAGATCCTATACACAAGGCGAGAACGATCACGTGAAATGATCGATAAAAAGCGCGCGGAAAGCCAACCAGATCAACTTTATTGTCTGATGAAAATGAAACAACGATAATGAATGACGAGGTAAGCCTATTAATCCAACTATGCTGACTAACTAACTGAAAAATTCTAAATTATGTAACAAATATCATTCAGATAGTAATTAATAATTGTATTAATAAAAAATTACTACTGTCCACTATTTACTTAAAAAATTGTAAAATATATAGCAAATATTATAATATAAATCGTAATAAATTTATTATAAGTAGTATTTAAGTTATAATAAATTTATATTACCATAATATTCAGAACAATTTAATAATATATGATTAGAAAATATTTAGTTACTATTATTCGTTACTAAAAGTTTCATTGTTTAAAATTAGAATTACGAGGAATAGTTTAAATTATAATTGAAAATATTCAGATAATTCTAATTGAAAGTAGCTAACTAACAATGTCTAATGCAATGAATAAATTTCCTTCATCTTCCAGTTAAACATAAACATGAGCCTGATGCAGAGAATGTGCAGGAAATACTTGAGATGGATCAGAGATATATCCGTGGAGCCAACTATGTGGCTGTACATGATGGCATACATGGTAACCTCTGTGGTCGAGCAAGCGTTCTTCGTTTATAAATCTTGTCGCGTCGACCACGGATACTCCGAAGAGATCTGTTCTAATTTAAACGACAATGAGACCATCAAGTCCGCAGTACAGGTAATAAACACACATCCTAACACACCAACAACATTTCCATTCATCACTGATCAACCTTCCCATGTTGCCAATTTTAAATTCCTCTTAAAAGAAATACAAAAAATAAATCTGAAGCGATTAAACGGTACAGAAAAAAATTGATAATAACAGAGTATGTACTCTGTACACAGTGACGTAATGTTTACTTCCATGCTCAAGATAAGCACATGGGTGCTTGAAAACACTTGCATTTGAAGATCTAGCAATCGGACCTGATATGTATTTCGTGACGATTTATAAATAAAATTCGATATATTAATTCGAGAAATTCATTGCAGGTGACAGTCTCAGACTTCCACCAATGGAACAACATAGCTGGCCACGTGGTGCCTATCATTCTGGCCCTGTTCTTTGGAAACTGGAGCGACAGACATGGTCGAAAATTGCCCATGATTATGGGCTTAATCGGAAAATTTATTTATTCTTTCATGATAGTAGTCAATTCCATGATGGACACGTGGAATTTGAATACTGTGGTGTACACAGCCAGTCTCCCTATGGGAATGCTAGGCGGTGATGTTGCCATTTTTGGCAGCTGTTTCGCGTACATATCAGACATTTCCTCGGTTCAACAGAGAACTCTGAGGATCACTATTCTGGACGTTGTTTATCTCAGCACTATGCCCACTGGTACATTTTCTAATCATTCTCGAGACTTAAAAGAAATTAAATTACTGTATCTAGAAGCTAAATTACAAAGCAATCTTGTTAAATTAAAATTTAAAGGTTGGTAAAAAGACGATGTTAGATAATAGAAATTGTTTACAAGAGACAGATTGTACGTAAAGAATATTTACTTGAATTGTACAACAATTATTGTAATAAGTTCTCTCCTTTGAGGAAAGGCAACACTGTAATGGTCCGAAGAGTAAAGGTATCTTTAGTAATTTATGAAAAGAAAAGTACTTAATGAATCTTTTTCAAATTTGCAGGGGTTTTTATTCAACATATAAGCTTTAAGAAAATAGTTTTGGTTAGTTCATTTGTAAAAATTGATAGGATTAAAGCATTCTTAAAGCTTGTATATCTATTAAAACCCCTGAAAATTTGGCAAAAATTCATTAAGTAGTTTCCTTTTCATAAACTACCAAAGATACCTTACCTTTACGACGTTGTCGTCTTCTCTTAATGTTAGGATGTTATTTTTAATGTATTTCCGTTTTCCAGGAGTGGCACTAGGATCCTATTTGTACACAAACGTGGCCAACTCGTCGTTCACAATCATGTTTATCATAAACACAAGCCTACTGGCCCTGGCCATCCTCTACTCTCTGATCAAACTAAAGTGGCAAACGTTGCCGCGACAACAGTCGCTTTTAGGCACCAATCTGTTAATGGACTTCTTCGATAAGAAGCACGTAGTCGCAACCATGAAGACAATTACGAAGCCCAGGCCGAATCACGGTAAGCTACATTTATGGCTGCTGTTGGTCATCATGATGCTCTACACATTCCAGAGGGACGAGAAACCGATGAGCTACCTGTACACGCAGCTCAAGTTCAAATGGGACGTAACCAACTTCAGTAACTTCCGAACGTTCCAGTCGATCACGTTTGTCGTAGGTCAGTTTCATAGAAATAGAACTATGAAAATTTATCCTCTAATTAGTAATCAGTAGACTGCAGATCTTTGTGCAATTAGAAATCTTTAAAGATTAATTTATGGAAACTAGAAACAGAGAAACATTAAAATTAATTATATTAAAGTTTCTATTATCTAGAATTAATTAAACTCCTTACTAGACTGGATTTCAGACAATTGGGTATGATATAAGTGCTTAAAATCCGCAGTCTAGTAATCAGATTTTGATCCTTTCGTTACACCAGCGATACATGTCCTCGACGATGGGTTATTCCACTTCATAAGATTTCTGAGAATTTTAAAAATTGTTGAACTTTGCTATTCGCTAAATTTATATTAATTAATATTATTTGAAAGGTGTATATTTTTTAATATGTATATGTTCAATTTAATATTATACGTTAACATCTACATTTCCTATGTAATTTTAAATTGAGAAATATTTAGCATACAAGTACAGTATATACTTTCAGTGTAGAGGTATCTTACTAGTACACAGAAAATGTACAAAGTTAATATATACTGTTAAATTAAAAACATAATTTAACTTATTACATATAAAGAGTACATGTTATCAACGAAAGGATGAAAATCCAATTCCAATCTACAAATGATTTGAAATTTGAAAAACCTTCAATTGAGAAAAAATTGGAAAATTCTGTGATCGAGAGAAAAATATTCTGAGAATTTACTAACTGCTGTCAGGCGACTGTTCGCCTGTATCGCTAATTTCCAAGTGATTTAAGGTGAAAGGAGAAATCCTATACGATACCAGAAACTTTCACTCTGCCAAAGAGATATCTCTCTGCAGAAACGAGCTGTTGGAGGAAAAAACAATTCCCACCCAGAGTAATGTGAAACCTTATATTTCAGCGATGTTAATCGGTGTGCCACTGATGAGTAAATTAATGGGGATAAAGGACACTATAATTGTAGCAATTGGCGCAACCGCACACGCAGCCGGAAGAGTAATATTCGTGCTAGCAGAGATACCAAAAATGTTCTACGTTGGTAATTAACTTTATAAAAAAAATCTTTGACTCCATTACGTTTAACAGAAAGTACAAACTTTAAATAATATATTTAGGTGCTGCCGTAGCTGCATTGGGTCCCATAGTGGCGCCGGTTTTAAGATCAATGACCTCGAAATTGGTTCCAGTTGAAGAAAGAGGTCAATATCACTACCAAAGCTACTAGATTAATCTCCTTTCGCTTAATCTTGCCTATAAGAGACTTCATACGTCTACATAAATTTACTAACATTCATTTTAGAAACAGCTGTTTCAATCTTTACGCAATCTGTATTTACAGGAAAAGTGTTTGCGATGCTGTCAGTCTGTGACAATGCTGTGCCATTGTTCAGTGGCATATTGTATTCACAACTTTACAATGCTACTATTAACACAGCACCCAGTTCTATCTATTGGCTGACGTTCTCCACTCAGGTGTCAGTGTTCCTGCTGGTTTTGTAAGTGACAAACTGTCTGAATTTTTTTTTTTTTTCAGAATAATTCATTTTACCCTGAGGAACAGAAACGTAATGACTCACGAAGAGTATATTTCAAATGATGCTGACTGCCCATATGTGTCTTCCTCATCAGAGCCTAACACATTGACAGACTCCAAGGATTCATCAAGCTGAACGTCCCTAAATGAATATTACATTCCATCTGTTTATATATCGTTATTTAACTACTTAATAGAGACTTTATACTTAAATAACAACAGTTAAAATAATCTATCATGTACAATGAAAATTTTATAACGTTAAGAATTGTAAATTTGTATATCATTTGTACCATTCAGATCACCACTGGCAATGTTTATACTATTTCAGAACGAGCTCTGTTAAAAGTTCAGACGAAATACAGTATTACAAAACTGTTACAAATCGTGTTGCTTGATTTCCTCTGAGACAGGTGTAATTCCAATTCCCTGACACCGATTACAAGAAGTTATATTCCCGGTTACACAAGTTTCCATCCACGTCAGACCGAGATTTACATTTTTTTTAAACCTATGAATCACAATTTAACGATTACTCGTTAAGATGTACATCTCATTAGGCGTTTACAATGACTCATTGCAGAACGAATTAATCCATTCGGAAGAGTGTCAGGTCTATCAACAAACAGCTGTGTTTTTGTGCTATTTAAAGATGGCATTACAATACCACGTCACACGTATACGAAATCACGTTCACCAAGCTATTGACTTTCGACCGACTGATCAGTTATTCACCGACCGTCGTGGACAAGCATGTCAAGGTCCCAACCGACGAATTATTGTTTACTGTTCAGAATTTTCAACCGACTACGTCTGCCCTAAAACAAATTAAACATTAATATCTGGTGAAACAATAAACCCTTACAAAAAAGAAAATAAAACTGTCAAAAAAATTAAGTAATACGATAACAGATTGCTGAATCTGTCTAGATTGTTCGTCATACAGACTCCTCTCGATTATTGTCGAAATTAGTGTCTTATTATTATTATTATATCTAAATTAGTCGAATTTACGAGGATTTGAAGCATTTCCTCTCACAAGATTATTGTCCTGACTGGGATCCAAGTTCAAGACAATAATCGAGGAGTCTGTACAGCGATCCCTGGATGAATGTGATACTTGGGGAAGAGCCCATATGAAACCAAACAAAACAAAGTAAGCAGAGACTGGGTTTCAGACAAAAAATTAATTTTTAAGGGACTGAAAACCTTTCTGCCTTGCCAAGAACGCTTCAAAGTGGACTAGAGTTGGTACGTTACACTCATCGAGAACTAATTGTATCTTTATTTGCCTAATTTAAATAAGCGACACCCTCTGATAATTCTAAATTTCTTTCAATCACACCTCAAGCCACAAACGATAAATTTATTATTGATTTATTTTATTATTGAATAAAATCGTTATCTATACAGTTCAGATAATCCAATTCGATCCTATCGATATTCAACACAGGTGAATGTTATCGAATGGAGATTATTTGCGTTTAAATTACCGAACAGGCCAGATATACCGCGTGAAAGAACAAACGTGAATGAAAATGAAAGCCACTACACCCAAACGAAGCGAAATGGGAATTCCACTTACTACGTACATCATCGCCACTCTGACCCAAATCGGTGTCCACCTCCTAAAAACCCGACAGGTATAAAAGTCTGAAAGCCTTTTGTAACTATGGACTGTTTGTCACGACGTTCTGACAACGCAAGAAGTTGGGAAACATTTTGAAAATATCAAGGATCCTGACACCGTTATGGTAACAGTAATAAAAATTTTATTGCATCACCGACAGAATGGAAAATGTAAATTTCACGTGGAAAGGGAGTTTAAAATATATTTCTATTTTCTCGATTGTCATTCTTTTACATATTTACTCCACGAAAGTTGCAGTTTCCATTCCTCTCTGTACAATAAGTCATCCAATTTATTGTTCAGCCTCTGTTTCATTGCATTTTTCTGCAGTTCGCGAGTCCTTTTGCTGTAAAACTTCGAACGATTGTTCCATTTGGACGTAGGACCGTGAAATTAGGACATTGAAATGTATATATATTCCAGGAACCCTGTTCCAGAAGATACTTAATGGAATTAAACTCGATAATCACTGAATGCTCCTCAAGTCTGACCACTAACGCTCCTTGACTACTGAAGTACACATTTCTAATTCCTCGATTCTCGAGGTCATACCCTAAGTCATTACCAGAGACCAAAAATAACAGTTATTTGAAACATTCTGTAGAAAAAAATCATGGAGTGAAAAATAATTTTTATTTAAATCTAAACCAGATATTAATAAATCTCGAGAACATTTATCAAAACGTGATGTGAATAAAAAATGTGGATTTTTACTAAAGATTAGGATCACTAGACTGCAGATTTGTATGCAAAATAAAATTTTATAAAGTAACTCTTATGGGCAAGAACAAAATCAGGAATTTCTATGTTCACTTAAGCATCTTATTGAGTTAAGAATAAAACAAAAAACTCGTTGCATCCTACGATAGTTTTGTCTTTTACTACTGTATTTCTCAGACCTCTAAAGTCTATAAATGCATAAAATCTGCAGTCTACTCTTACGCTCTCAGAATCTACATAGTGTTTTGAATTATTAATGAACAAATTACTGAACAGAGTTCTATTTTCTCAGTACCAATTTCGAAAAATAAATCACCTTTTAATAAAGCTTTAAATGGTTTCAGGTTGAAGTGAAAAGGATAGTTAGCATCGCGATAGCGATTCTAACGATATTTGCAACGATAACGAATGCTAAACCAGCTACTACACCAGCACCTGGTGGTGCTATCACCATCTATCCAGTCCCCCAAAAGCCATTTTACCAGCCCAGTGGATGGATCTATCCAAAACCGATTCGTTCCTAAGCGAGGAATTAATCTCTACAAAAAAAGACCAGAATTGAAGATTTCTACAGGAAAATTTGACACATGTAGACCAAGAATCCTCTGAAATGCTTCAGTCGTCAGTAGACTGTGGATTTTTATGCAAAATAACATTTTCGAAAGTAATTCATAAACACAAAACCCGAATTTGGAATTTTTATCTTGCTTTTACTATCTTATTGAGTTAAAAAGACAATCAAAAATTCGTTGAATCTGACGAAATTTATGTCTTTTGTTGAATTTTAAAGACCTCTGCTATAATGCATAAATCCGCAGTATAGTCATCAGTATTAACCCCTTGCCTTACGATTTTTGTCTACTCTCAAACATTAATTTATCGTTAATAATTTCCCAGATACAAAACGAATTTTCTACTCTGGACAACTGTAACATTTACTCTAAATATTAAATATTGATAATAATGAAACGGAATTTCACATCTGAAGAGTATACATGTTTATTAAATCCACATTGGAATCGTCATCACGTGTCTGCCCCGATGTTACAAGGCAAGGGTTTAATTCACTCATCAGAAATATGTTAATTCCAAGGATTCTCCGTACTGTAACAGGTGTCTTAGGCAAGTTTGTATTCGCCAGAATATTACAGATCGACAAAGTGAACCAAAGTTTGTACAAGTAGCTGTGAATCCTGTATAATAAGAAACTTGAGTTAGTTACAACGAAGATATGAAAAGACTTCAATCATGAAGGAGTTCTGAGCAATTTTTCCCCTGTCTATCAAGAATTCCCAGCGATTCCATGCTGTGGAATATATTTTCTCGTAAAATCGCGACCGTCTTGTTCGAACCGACGCTGGTTCCAACGAGGTGTTGGGTCTGAGCGCGGAAAATGGGAGTCACGTAGGTGTTCTCCTTACAGGAGACAGTCACGTAACAGCAAAAATACTTCTACGTGTACGGTTTCTAGTTCAGTTAGCTCCATGATGAATGCAACACGAATTCGTTTGTATTTGATTATAGCATTTAATCAGAAGAAAATTTAAATTAAATTTTCTAAAATAAAGTTGACACGTCGATTGTTCGAATGTTTGTTTACTACATAAGTTGGTAATTTCATAAAATGAATGTACTATACAGATAAACGATGGACCATGAATCGTTACTAGTAATTAATATTTTTTAAGATTGTTGTATTAAATAAATTTTTCTGTTAATTTGTGGTTTATTTCCTAGCTAGTTGATTGAAATTTGTGCTAAAGTTTATGTTCTAAACGAGAGATACATAGGAATGCGTATTTCAAGGAAGCGTTGTTTGACGTAAAAGAAACTGTTGAATATTTTACACCTGGTGCTCTCGGTTTTGTTTGCACGCTTTAATGCATCGAAGGTAGTGCACAGGTAATAGAAGTGAAGTGATCTCTGGACACATTAATTTCAATTCTGTCTACTATTAACGCCTATTTACGACGACCACGGAAATAGCTGTACCGTTTTAAATTAAAACGTCTAAATAAATGTTAATATCCTATGACCTGATTTAAATTTCCATTTGCATCGATCGTAAATTCAAATATTCTGTATCTTATCGTACACGTGACAAGACTCTTTGGAAGTTACATTGATCAATTCAAGAGAGAATGTAATGTGTGTGGAAATCTCCTTAAATTATACATATAGACATGATAATATAATGATTGACTAATAATACATGCTCTAATTATGTATCTGTCTTTTTACTGCTGTTGATGCATGTTACATGTATTGTTAATTAATCATTTCGCACATATAAAACATAATAAATCATTCAATAGACACAACATTGAAACATAAACATATAAAAATTCCATAAACACATGCTGAAATTGTCACAAATAATACATAAATACCGTAAATAATATGTGAAACGAACTTTTTCGCTTCTATCAAGACATGCAATTGAAGTACTCATTTAGCATGTTCATTTCTCTTAATTAATCATTGGTAATGTATATTAACATTACTGTAACTTAACTAATGTCTGTTAATAAATCATATTTATATATAATCTAAATCTAAATAACTAGATTTAAAAAACTAGACTACTTATATTTCAAGAGCAAAATTCTAAAAAAGTGAAGAAAATCAATAGTTACATGTAACTGTAAAATTTTTCTAATTCAATTTATTGACTGAATATTTACTACAAATTCGACAATAGAATGTCTTCAACTATTATATTCAAACATATAATAAAACTGACTATTCTTCGTCAAATCTTAAGGTCTGACCAAGAAGTCCCTAAT